CATATAAAGATTTTGCTTCTGCCGTGCCAATCCTATCCTAGTTGTGTCATTTTATTGCCAGACTATTTTGGTTTAGACCTATGTTTCAAAGTCTAATGGACAGATGAAGAGTAGGCATATATGTATGTCCTTGTTCCCCACTTTAGGGAGAAGGCATTGTATCATCTCCCTTCATAGAAGGGGTTTTTCTTGGAAGTATGGAGTACATATCTTTCATCTGTTGAGAAATTTCTGTTCTACTTCTAGTCTCCTGATAGCTTTTACCACGAACAGCTGTAGAATTTAGTCCAATACTCTTTCTCCAACTAGTGACAGGATCATATGGCTTTCTCCTTTCCTCTGTTAAAATGATTACTTTTGGGGGTGGATCTTCCAATGCTGAACCAACACTGCCATCCCTATAATAAAACCACTTTCTACATAAAAAAAAAGAAAGTAAATGAGGGGCTCATGCAGAGGTCGGCACAGAGCTAAGCGCATACTGTGCACCCAGCAATGCAACACAGAGGGAAGCCCTTCTCTCTCTCTTGCCAGGAGCTTCAGTGGAAGAAAGAACTTCTGCTCTCCCATCAGCACAGCAAAAATGGAATACCAGCTCAGTTTCTTCCCCTGCCACCCTGTCCTGTCCCACCCACAAAAGCAACCAGGCAGAGAGGTAGACAGGTAACATGCCTTGGCCCTCTGTCCTGCTGTCCCTCTCCCTGCACCTGTGACAAGGGTTGGAGGCCAGCTGAAATGTTCCCCACAGCTGCCTGTTTAAGATCCTGCCTCCTCAGGGTCTGCTTTGTGGACCCAGCCCTGTATACGCAAAGGCAGTCCAGATCTGGATTTGGGAAGTTCATAGGGACCTCCACTTTTCCCTCAAGTGCTAGATGTTTTACCAATAAAGCCCCAACAGGAAGCTACACCCTGAATAATCCTGGGCCCTGTCACTCTTAATAGAATGACCACAGTGTTTATTTGCTACTGGTAAGAATGTGAGAAGTAAAGGGGTGAGTGACAGCTCCCAATCTCCAATAGTTAAAAAACTCAATGACAAAATTAGTGACAAAATTACCTCACTCACATTCTAGCTTTCCCCTGATATCTCTGCTATCCCAGAAAAATATCTGGGAGGAAGGAAGACCATGTTCTCTGAGGCAAGTAGAGAAAGAGAAACCAAATCAGAAAGCCCAAGTAAGTAGCAGGGAGTTTCCAGGGACTTGGGAAATCTGGGCTGGAGAGGGCCCTCCCCAGTGGTCTCACTCACCAGAGGAAGCCAGCCCATCTGAGCCCTTGCCAGGGGGCTGCACATTCTCTTCCGAGGACTCAGTGTCAGATGAATCCCAATCATTCTTCTGCTGGGGCACCATCTTGGAAGTAACTTGGGGGTTCTGAAGAGACATGCGATGCACGGTGTTTCCCTCTGAGTCCTCCTCGGAACTGAATGGGGGTGTGCTGCTGCATCGAGGAGAAGAAAGGAGGAGTCCCTGGGCTGGAAAGAGAGCTTCACCCCCTTAAGAAGATCCCTTGGGTCTGCCCAGAGCCAGTCTTGATCCCTCCCTCCCTGGAGCACAGATGATGGCCAGGACTCTTCCCAGAGTGGAGCAGCCACACCAGCTTTCCCCTCAGAAAAGGCCTGAAGACCCAGCCTTGCAGGGGGGAGCTGGGATTGGGGAAGACGAGGATAGGTCTATCTTGGCCGGGAGCAAAGGATCCCTAGTCTCTTCTTGGAAACCCAGGATGGACCCCGCTAGACCCACCTCCTTTTCACATCTGTCTCAGCCCCTCCTTTGTCTGCAGAAGAGGCCCAAGAAAGGACTGCCAAGGCAGGGACCACTGCCTCAGGTCCAGTAAGAGACAGAGGCCAGGGCTCACCTCAGCCCTGGCCCGTGGGGGGCAGGGGTGCTGGAGGGTCCTTGCACTCTGGGGCGTGGAGTTGGGGCAGACACCTGGGTTGGACCAGAGCCATGGCTGCTGCGGCTCTGAGGAGCTGGTGTGAATGGCTCTGCCAGCTTGGATGGCAGCGCCACATGCAGGGCCCTGGTCTTTGGCCGGGCCTCTCTGGTAAGCAGTGTGCTCCGCTGACTTTTGTCTAAAAACACAAAAAAGAATGACTTTCAGAAAATGCCATTCTGAGCTCTTGAGCCTTAGACATTGCAGAAAGAGGGTGGAATGCAGTGAAGGTGGATGGGTCATTGTCTCAGTGTGCTATGATGACAGTAGGTTTAATAGTCGTCCCACCCCAGGAGTCCTTCTGCTGGGACACCAGAGACCAAGAGAACAGCCAGGTGGCCCAAGATCATGTTGTCATTACAGAAGACCAGCAGAAGCCAGAAGGGCTAAGGACATTCACTGCACAGCCCTAGAGGTGGATCTTGCCAAGGCCACCTTCCTCCCTGCTCTCCCACTGGAGTGCAGGTATCCTTGCAGGAAGGACTGGCTGCCACCAGAGGTCGCCACAGGACTACATGGCCCAGCCAGAGCCCCATGCAGCCTCCTCCCACCAGCAGGCTGGTGCAAGGCAGTGCCCACCCAAGGAGGGCAAACAGTCACTGTCCCTCTGTTTTTGCAAATTGCATCAAAACCCTATGGGGAGAGGGGTCAAACTATCTTTTATGGAAAGAGACTAGACTAGAAAATGAAGCACAGGAAGTCTAAGTAATTCACTGAAACTTACATGTGTGGACTGAATCACAATATAAAAATGTGTTTCTTACTACAATAGCTCAAGATCAAAAACATTTGAAATGCTCTGCTCTCTGAGAATGCATCTACTCAGGAGTAGATCTAGGAAGGAACTGAAGAGATGGGGAAGACAAACTTGCTCAGAGAAAATAACAAGAGCTTACTGCATACACCAAGCAAAACATCCATGTGGCCCCCAAGGCCTCTTCCAACAGTATTGTTCTTTTGTTTTACAGGGGCTTTGAGAGATTAAGGAACTTGCCCACAACTTCACGGAAGAAAATGACAGGCGTAAACCTGGACATCGGTCTGCCCCAAACCTCAGGCTCTTGCCACTGCCTTCACTGCAGCCCACAGCCTTGTTCACAAGAGAAGAGGGATGGTCTGAGCAGGGACAGGAGATGAGCATTAGCACAGTGCTCATGGGACCTGGAAGGAGAAGATGGGCTCAGAGCTACAAGGAGAGGTCTGCCAAGCATCATGGGAAGAGTGGTCTCAACTCACACCTCAATGGCCTGGGAAGGAGACAGAAAATGAGGGGAAGCTCTCCTGGATTTTGGATGTCAGCAGTGGGGGCTGTTGGGGAAAGTGGCACCTAGAAGTAAGACACCTTTCTTTTCTCTTGGAAGACGGCATTCCAAGGGTACTTCCATTCATTCTCCCAAGTCCCTGTCCCCTGCCTCCCCTGTGCCTCACCACTGTGCCTGGATCCATCACTTCATGTAGTCCTGGCTGGCTTCCCAGGCTGGGAGGTAGGTCCAGGCACAAAGTCTACCTCAGCAAATACTGTACTAAGTAAAGGTGTGAGCAGATGCATTAATGAATGAACATGTGAGCAAACAAGCAAAGGGATGTAAGCTTAAATCCAAGCATGAAAGGCAGGAGAGCAATCAGGACAAACATCCCTCTGTCACAAATGTCTGTGTAATGGTAAGGACGCCCTTTTCCTTAGAAATTTTGCAACAGACGTTTAAGCTAAATAGGTCAGAACTAGTTCCTAGAACTAGTCTCGTGCCAACTGTCCTGTTATCTACTTAACATTTTTATGTAAAATGACAGCACTTTTAAATATAAAATAACTGCTTTATAATTCTCCAAGTAATAATTTCCATGAGCTCACAGGATTGCTATGTTAAGAATATTTTTTCTAATTCACTTAAAAAATACAGATTAAATGTAAAAATGATTGATGCATGCACTAGTCAAATCATCTTTCACATGCCCAGAGATATCCAGATCACACTTTGCAAAATCTCTCGGTCTAATGAGCTCACACCGAGTCTTTCTCTACATGAGATCCAGAAATGGCCTCCTTCTCGGCATGTCTCCTTGCCTGGGGAGGTGATGTGAAGAGAACTGGCCACTACCCTGCATGAGCAGACCAGATCACAGAAGCCCTGCACAGAGCCTCCAAGTCAGCATCCCAGTAGGCCTGGGAATCCTCTATAAAGTGAGTCTCTTGAACCCAGGAAGCCCTAATCCATAAAGTCTTTGAGGACAAAGACTCAAGGACCCTGGTCCCTGTACTTTAATCCTCCTCCAGAACAGGCCCTTCCCTTGTCTTCACCCCCAGGTTCAGGGACAAGGAGCAAAGCAACAGCTCTGACCAGGCCCAGGGACCAGTTCCATGCTCTGAGGATTTATCTGAAGGCATAACCAGCCCAGCCTCTCAGGCGGTGCCACTGCTGAGAGCGGGAGATATCAGAGGTATGGGGAGTTTTTATTTGATTGATATTTGCTCCCCTGTGACCTCGATGCTCCCAGGTCTTGGGTCAGTCTCCCACATTTACTTGCTTGGTGTGCAGAGCCAGATACTGAATGGCTGCACTCTGTTGGAAGGAAGCTTAGCTTGTGGTTGTAGCAAACCAAGGAGGGCAGTTTGAAGCTACAAGGGAAGTATCGTGCCTGAGCAGGGAAAACTTAGGCAGACCACAAGCTCTAGTTCTGGCTCTTCTCCAACTTCCCCCAAGTGACCCTGGGCAAGCACCCCTCAGCCCCACTCTGGACTCTCTTCTCCCAACAGAGGACTTTTGCACTCATTCACCCCTCAGGGTAATACCCCTGATGTGAGGCAGGGATTACACCCTCTTCCTGGCAGACAAGCCTTAGCAAAAAGGGGATCCTCCCAGGTCACAGTCCCCAAGCAAGCCCTGTCCCCAGCAAACCTGGAGGCTGGCCCTTGGGCTGGGACACCACATTCCCATTGTGTCTCTCCTTCACTCTGCTGATGGCTTCTTTGATGAGCTTTTTCCTCAGACTCAGAAATTCAGAAAACTTCCTGGCCTTCTGCTCCCGCTGGGCTTTCAGCACGGACTCCAGGTGTCTGAGAGTATGAACAGCAATTCCCTTTGCATCCTGGAGGAGACAGAAGCTCACCTTTGAAGACAGGGGCTCCTCTCCTTCCTCTAAGTTTTTCACACCTACTGCAGCTGACCTGGGAGTCACTGTGATCGCTACATGATAGGTTTTGGGAAGTAGATATGGGAAAAAATGAGGATCAGAGCAGGGTGAACAGTGACTTCTCCCACTGTTGAAAATGTGATGGCTTAGGGTTTGGAGCCCCACAAAAACTTACACAGTAGCATAATGCAAAGGATATATCACAATTCCATCCACATCCTGGCATAAAGAACTTAGATGGGACATACTTTTCCACTACTTGACTTCTTCTAGGATTTGGCCATGGTGTGTTCCTTTTTTGCTCTCAAGCAGTGTAGTTATGCCTGACATGTTGTTCTTGGCTAAGAATATTTGAAAAACTAAACTGAAAAAAAAAATCAGCTATTGTAAGCTACTTGGGTTTTTGGCATCCACCCAGAGCTTCAGGGAGGCTTCTTAGGAGACATCTGGATTCAAGATGAGGATTTATTCAAGGTTAGAAATATTTAAATCAAGTCTGAACATGGGACTAAGACTAGATTAATCAGTAGTTGAAAACAGTCAAAATTAAGTGAGCATCCTTACTAAATTAAATCTATGTATCTATTTTTTCCTAATTCTACTCACTGAAATGATGTGGTTTTCTTTAGTACTTGATGCCTTTAATGATAACATGCATGCTCTGGCTAAACACAATGGTGTTCAAAGGCTAACTGCTTCCAGACACAGCTTCCACACCTGCCCCACCTACAGCCACCCACAGAGTGGGCGTGACCACATGCGCCACAGGCAATGGACTTGGAGACCGACATTTATCCAAGAGGGACCTGTCCCTAGGTCAGATTGAGACAATTCAACTCCCTCTGTTAGAAAATTTAGAGACTCAGAAGGCAGTAACCATTGAGTGGAGAACACCCTGGGGTGAGGACATGGGGTGGCATCGAAAGCCAACACAAGAGGACACAGAGAGGAAGCCACACTCCTGCTAAGAGGTGAAGAAGGGGTTCCCTTCCCAGACAACAGAGGAGCCCAGGTCAAGCAGATCCATTCACAAGGTAAAGAACAATCGATGGTTGGTCAGTTTGAGAACACTTTATGTCTCAATTCTAGTTCTTGACCCCTTAAAACAGTAGCCCTGGAACGAACCCTCTTTATTCCCATGCTTTCCAGCTTCTCTTCCAGGGTGTCCTCCAGGATAGGCCGGAACTGCTTCATCAATGGAGGGTTTCGCCTCAGAGCAGCCAGCACCTGCTGCTGTTCATCTTGGGAGTCCTTCAGCTCTGCAGCATAAGACAATCACAGATCAGTGTGCCTGCTTGAGATTTCCAAGCCAAAGCCCTGTCACCCCCGCTGGGCCCTCACTCTCCCAATGATCTCAGCCAGGGCTACTGGCTTCTCCCAAGTGTCCACCCCCAGGCTAGAAGCAGGGGATTTCTGCTCCTGGGTACCACTGGCTCACCATCCACTCTCCTTCAGCAGTCCCGGCCCTGCCATCTGGACCTTTCAGATCTGAGCTCAGTCAGTCCTGCCATAAGTTTACATGCATTATAGGGGATTGCATTTGAGCCCTGAAAACAACTTGTTCCCTGGGCTCCATTCTGGTCCCAGATTCCAGGCCCTCTAGATATCAGCTCCATCCTAATCCTGGCTTCCACCTGATACCCTCACTGTGCCCAGTTCTGCTCTGGTCCAGGAGGCCAGTTGTAGAGAAGGGAGATTCCTGTTCTCTTCCAGTTTATTCTCTAGATCAGGGACTCCCCTTCCATCTGTAGCATGTTTCAGAATCACCTGGATTAAAATGTGTGTTCCCTGGCCCTGCCCTCCCGTGTCTGCTCCTACAGGAATATGCACTTTCACATGCCCAGATGATTCTGATGAAGAGGAACCACAGACCACACTTTATAAATATTAATCCACCAGGTAACAAAATAAGTGAATACGTAAAATATGCAAACTGCTACAAAGGGACTCAGCCCAGGCTGAGTCAGAGAAGTGTCTTGGGAATACTCTTCAGTATATGTGGAAAACCTATGGTTAGGCTGAATCAAGCCCTTTCATTCACTCAATAGACAGTTACTAGGCAGGTAGCACAAGTGTGAACAGGCCAGGGCTGGATGCTGGGGACACAGAAGAAATGGAACTCTCCTCCCCAGAAAACTCACAATTGGGGTGGTAAATAACCCTGGCTGCACACAGAAATGACCCCAAATTCTAATTACATAAGATTTTCTGAGGTCTCACCCAACCCTTGATATTTGTTGTAAAAACTTCCTAGACACGCTAACAAACATCACCCAGTGTCCTGTGAGATATGCAGATACTCAGCTCCCATTCCAAACCTACTGAATCTAAAATCTGCAGGTGGGCCCATCAATCTATGTTGGAAGAAGCCCCCACACCTTCCAGGCCCTACCCCTCCCAGGTGCTTCTGCTCAATGAAGTTTGTACTGGGGCATACACTCAACCAGAGCACCGTCATCACCTTGGGAGCTATGGATGCTCCCGATACCTGGAATCCACCCCCTGGCCTGTACGGCCTGTTCAGGTAGTGTAGGGCTGTAGCGTGGTCTTCTAGCTAGTTACAAGCTTCCTGGGTGATGCTTAATGTGTGACCAGTTGTAAAGAGCCACTGCTCTCCCAGGGGTTCTCAAACTTGAGCAATAATCAGAATGCCTTGGAAAGTGTAAAAACTCAGACTTATAAGACCTGCCCTTAAAATTTCTGCTTCTATTTATCTGGAATGAGGCCTGAGTATTTGTGAATTTGTGTTTCTAACACTAAACTTGCTGGAAAACAAGTTAGGTAGAACTCTTGAAGACACTGGCATAGGAAAGGACTTTATGAACAAATCCTCAGTAGCATGGGAACGAGCACAAAGAATCAACAACTGGGATCTCACCTTATTAAAAAGCTTCTGCCCTGCAAGAGAAACTACGAACAGAGCTAAGAGAAAACCTACAATGTGGGAAAAAATTTTACCAGCTGTTCCTCAGACAAAAGTCTACTATCTAGAATATATAAAGAACTCAAAAAAATCAGACCCCCCAAATATAAAGACCCAATTGAAAAATAGGCATCCTAAATGAACAGACATTTCTCAGACAAAGAAGTAAAAGCAGCAAATAAATATATGCAAAAATGTTCGACATCACTGGTCACTTGAGAGATGCAGATGAAAACAATGCTGAGAATCCACCTCACTCCAGAAAGAATGGCTGCTATCATGAAATCAACCAATAACAAGTGCTGCCGGGGGTGTGGAGAGAAAGGAACCCTGCTCCATTGTTGGTGGGAGTGCAGAGTGGTGCAACCACTGTGGAAATCAGAATGGAGATACCTCAAACAATTAGGACTGGAAGTCCCATTTGACCCAGCTATTCCCCTGCTGGGTATCTTCCCAAAAGAATTAAAAGAATCATACCACAGTGATATATGCACACCCATGTTTATAGCGGCACAGTTTGTAATAGCTAAAACTTGGAAACAGACCAATTGCCCATCTTCTGGAGACTGGATAAAGATGATGTGTTTTTTTTATAAAATGGAGTACTACTCAGCCATAAAGAATGAGAATCGAGAGACATTTATAGATAAGTGGATGCACATTGAGGCCATACTCTTAAGTGAAATAAATAGGACACACATGTGTAAATACCAAATAGTTTCTCTGGTGTGAAAAACTAAAACTGTAAATAAGAATCAAAATGTATAATTGATATCGTGAGATAGGAAGAAAATGTTTAAAGGAATAGGGAAAGTGAGAGGGGAAGGGGAAAGAAGAGAAAAGAAAAAATATGAGAAAAAAAAAACATGGAAACAAAGTCTTTGTAAATAGGGAAGGGTGGAGGGGGTGAGGGGAGGGCCAGGGAATGGGGAAAAAATAAGAACCAAAATTGTCCTCAGCCTTGCTGGAGCTGGCAGACCCTGGTCAGGAGGCTGCCCCGAGGGCGTTCCCTCATCTCTCTTGGGAGCTTCCTCTCTCTCATGCTAGGAGCTCCTAAAGGTCAGGGAGATTTCCATCTTTTTTATTTGTCTTCTGTATCACCTCACAGCAGCTGGGTGAGAACTCTGCATATTAGATTCATTTTCTAAGGGAGGTGAATGAAGACCGCAGGCACTCACTGCTCTGAAGAGCCACAGCAGAGTCTCCTGCACCTTAGTTGTGCCTGAGTGATCTTTCTGAAGCACACTCACATTTCAAAAGAAAACAAAAAGGCCACTTTTGGTCAGTGCAACAAGTTCTCCACTGCTTTGGATTGTACCGGGTGAGAGGCAGCGGGGCAGGTATGAAGGGCAGGCCTTCAATTAGGTCCTGGCTCTGCCCTTTGCCAGCTTTGTGATTCGGGACAACTTACTGACCCTCTCTGAGCCTAACTTTCTCCACCAGTGAACCAGAAGACTGCGTGTTAATACTTGCATGTAACATACCTGGCACATACAAGGAACTTAAGGAATACTTATTTCATATTCTTAGTTCCCTCTACCCCAGCTTCAGAGGTCCAGATACCATTAAGTAAGGACCAACTAAACAATGAAGACAGCAGCAAATCTGTTTTCTACACTGGGCACCCAAAAAGAAAAAAAAAGGCTCACCTTCCTCAAGAGAGTCCTCCTCTGTGTCCACAGCCTTTGGTATCTCTTGGATCCCTGAAAAGAAAAGATACAGTTAGTGGAGTCACTACCCTGGACTCCATCATTGACTCAGAGAGAAGTGCAGGACTTCAGGTCAATACTGACCAGAAAAAGATGGTCCTCTGGTAGGTTCATCTTTTTTGGAGAGGCAGGAAGGAGCAGTGGCCACAACCACAGGCACTGGAGGCAGAAAGATCAGAGCTCACAATTCAAGTCAGCTCTGACCTTACCTGCTGTGCATGAAATGATAAGTCCTCAAATCTCTCTAAACCTCAGTTTTCTTTCCCAGAAAATGGGGATAATAATACACATTCCATATTAAATAGTGGGGCTAAAATAGCAAGACAACAAATCTGACAAAGTGCATGGAACACAAGTGTTATTAATAGTACTATTCCAGTCAACCCTGAGGCCTGCCACAGGCATGGTGAATTAGAAAGCCTGCTCGTGAGGCCCACTCCATCAATCAACACCCTCAAAACACTTATGCCTCCCCAGCTCTCATCCATGTGCAAATAAGAGCAAACCAGGCAAGAACCCCTGCCAGCTGTTGGACAGCCTTTGGCAAAAATGCTGTCTGACCCAGCAGCTCCCTCCCTCACCCAACACCACACATCCCATGGGCCACTGTTACCAGCCCTCCACTTATAAACTGATTGTGATATGAGAGGGAAAATAGCCCAAGACAATAGCCAAGACTGTCCCAAGCCACCCTCTATGGACTTACACTCTGCCTTCCTGAGGGACAAGGTCTGGATCTGCAAGAGGTGGAACAGAGCAGGTTATTGCCAGCAGAGAACACTGTGGTACTCTGCTCTGAGCAGTGGGTCTCCCCAGCACAGAGAAGAAGGGATGGCTACTGTCACCATGCCACCACTGGGAACTGGAAGGAGCTGGGCTACACCATCTCAGCACCCAAAACAGCTCCTACAGTCTGTATGTGAAATGAGATGGAGCCACGGTGGAATAGTAACAATCCAGGATGGTAACCTGCTCCCTTTCCCCAAATGAGGAGCCAAGAATGACCCCTCTTCAAAGAAAGCTTGTGACTGTGGGGCAGGAGACCCAAGGAAGCAAGTGGGACAACACACAGTACTACTGGTCTGGTTGACAGAAACAGCCAGAGCAAGGTAGAGGCTACCTCCATGATGTGGCATCTGAGCTGAGTAGAAGGCCAGATACATGGCAGGAGGCATGATGTAGGCATCCAAGAAGCACCTCTTCTTCCCTCCTTCTATATGGCTGCAGACTGGGCAGCCACTTGTGACCCATGTGACCTCACACCACAGCCATATCTGACTGTCCAGGTTTGAGTGGAGAGCTGTAGACTGATGAGTCAAGAGCTACTGGCAGCCAATGGTTTTTGGTTTTCTTGGTTTGTTTGTTTTGCCACATGAAACCAGTAAGAAGCAGGAGGTGATCTTCAGAATAAAATTGAAGCAGATATAGAGAAAAGAACAGAGACACATAGAAGAGCAAAACTTCTGACCATGCTCATGTTTCTGGTCCCAGTTTATGCCCAGATTCAGTTGCATCCCTAGCCCTGAGCTCTGTGAGATGCTCTGTCTTATGTTATGGCACATTCCCTCTTCTGCTTCAGCTAGAGTTGGGTTTTGTTATTACCCACTGTATCATATACTAATGTATGACCCATCCAACATCCATTTTGAAATGTTTTCTCCCTTGCCTACCTCTGTTCTACAGATCATTGCCAATTTTCACTTTCCTAGTCTTCCTTGAAGTTGTAGCTTCCCATGTGGCAGAGATTTGACCAATAATTTATTGGCAGGAGTCTTAGAAAGGGCCCTTTTCATTAACTTCTTCCATCAAATATGATTGTGAAGGGTGGGTAATGGGAGCTATCTTGTAACTGTGAGAGTTGAGCATCAAAACAAAAATCAACATGTTAAATATGGTAAAAATAAACACAGAGTCTGGATTCCCAGGGGCATAATTTTGGTGCTAACCACAGCTAGCAACTGTCACCTCTTTTACTGGTATTAACTTATTTTGTTATCTTTAGCCAATGGGTTCCTAACTGAAACATTTGCAGAAAAGAGTTTTAAGAAATGTAAGAAGGAATCCTCCAGACTAGACCTGAAGTGTAAAGCTAAGTTCCAGGGGGAAAGAGAAAGGGGGCTGGGGGCAGTGGATATACTTGACTGAGCGAAGTAGGATGGCAGAGCAGAAAAGCACAACTAGCAAGGGGCACAGGATCAGAAGACTGAAGTAGACAATGGCTGTGCAGCCCAGAGGAGCTGTGTGGAGGTTGACCTGTGAGATAGGTAGTGTTAGAATAATGGCAAGGCCCCAGGAGGGCCCCAGAGCGGGGAAGAGCTTTCCCATGAACCTGGAAAAGCTCATGGGGGCTGGGGGGAGTGCTGAGCCTGAGATGGGATGAGAATAATCAAGAACAGATGAATTCTAGGAGAGAGGTGCTTATTGAGTAAGCAACTTTTCACCATGCTGGTTTATCTAACAACTTCACCTCAGGCTATTAATTTAGTCTGAGAACACAGTATAAAGAGCACAAACTGTCCATTGGCTTGGGTTGAATCTCACCTCTGTCACTTGTACCATGTTGGGTTTTGTTATTACCCAAGTGCAGATTTGAGCGAGGCACTGGATTTCTCCAGCCTGTTCATTATCCCATCAAGTGAAGATGGGAAAAGTGATGGCTACACCAAAGGGCAGGAGTGGGGCTTTAACGAGCTAATGAACAAAGTATCAACCAAGGGCCAGGCCTCTTACATGGTCTATGTCTTTAGAGTGAACCCAACTGTCAGCTGCCCCTAAGGAAAACAGCACTTCTTCCACCCAGAAGGAGGCATCTACGTCTTCCTCCCTTTGTGCTCCTCATGCTGAGGACTCTTCCCTCCCTTTCAGAGCCTAATAGAACTAGGGCCACTGGGCCCACAAGAATCCAAAACAATCCTCACAGAGAAGAGGCCTACAGGCAGCAGTGGCTGGCTGGTCAGAGGACAGACCTACCTTCTCCTCTTGGGAGGCTATGAGCCTGGCTTGTTCCCGCAGCTGGGCACGGAGGGCATTGATCTGGTGCTGGGACTGGGTGGCTGCCTTCCTCTGATCCTGAGACAGGGAGGCCTGGAGCCTCTCATTCTCCTCCTGTAGCTGGTGGGCATGGGATGGTGGTTAGGCAAATGTCTGCCGAGACCTCTGCAGGGTTCCACTTGGGGCAGGTTAGGGGGTTTCTAGGCCTAGGCAGGGAGCTTTCTAACAAGACTAACTGCCCTCCTATTTGGGCAGATTTTTGAATTGTGCCTAAAAAGAAGTAAGAATGGAATCAGGCCCCTAAGATCGGGAGAGAAAGTGCTATGTCAGATGTGGCTACCCACTGAGGTAGGCTGAGACCATTGAAAAATCACCGGATGCATGTTTCAGGGTAAAAACAAGAAGAAAATGTGTTCACATGCTACCTCTGATATAAGAGCAGATGTAAAATAAGATTATTTTTAACATTTGTATGAAAAACCTCTAGAAGAATACATGAGAAGGGAACACATGTCATTGCCTGTGTGGGAGTGGTAGAGACAGGTGGGAGTGACTGGGTGGGAGTAGGGCCAAGTGGGAGTGACTTGACTCAGTGTACCTTAGTACATTTCCTCTGCTTTTAGAACAAATTTGAATATATTTCCCATTTGAAAATGTTTCATAACTTGGGAACTGTGCATCACTATAACAGAGTGGGGAGCAAGTATCTGCCATGTGTCAATTTCTCGTCATCTTCCAAGCTTTCTGCAGGCAGGTCATGGAGCTCTTGTTACCTGGTTTTCTCCTCAACCTGCCTTCTCAAATTTGTATGGAAGAGTTTTCTTTTCCAGGTGCCTGCTGCCTCCTGGGACATCAGTGAGGTCCATACCACCTGGCTCTTTCTGGGTAAGTTTTCAAAGAGCTCAAACATGAAACCGCCAGATGACTCATCTGAGGCTTAAAGCACAAGAGGGCCTGGAGGAGGCAGCACTGTATAAAGGGCGTTTTGGGTTCAAGTGACAAGGCCCTGCCTCTGGCCAAGGAAACTGCTGGCCAGAGAGCTGCTCCCTTCTATGTATTGATAGGGGCCAGCAGCCAGGCACAGTATCAGCCACAAAATGTCCAACAGTCATGTCTAGCAAGGATAGAGGAGAAAGGAATCATGAGTATAGCTACCTCTCTCCTCTCTGTCACATGCTCTTCCTGCAATTCCTTCAACTTTCTCTTCCATTCTGTTTTCTGAAAAAGATTAACAGCTTATTAAGTGGACCCCTCAAGATATTAATATTATTATAAAGCTACAGAAATTAAAAAGCAATGGCTCATGATTGGGCAGACAGACTAGTGGGACAGAGTAGAAAGCCCAGGCAAAGATAGAAGAAGATGGAAACTCAATTGAGGGACTGGGAAGATAGATGATTGACTAAAGGTGTTTGAACAAGTAGCTTGCTGCCTACAAAAAAATATGAACTGGATCCTTACCCCATATCTTAAACCAAAGTAAATTCTACGTGGGTCAAAGACTTAAATAACAAAAGTAAAGTCATAAAAGCACCAAAAAAAAAAAAAACAAACACACAAATATAAAGTTTTTTAAATCTCAGAGGAAGGCCATTAAAAAAAGAGGGAGGGGGCTAGGGATGCAGCTCAGCGGTACTTTCCCAGCATGCACAAGGCCCTGGGTTTAATCCCCAGCATCACAAAAAGAAAAAAAGAAAAGACTGATAATTTGATCATCTTGAGCACATAAACATTACTTTTTATGGCCAAATCACAATAATCAAAATTGAAAGACCAATAGAAAACTAAGGAAACTAGAACAACATAGGGCTGAGTTGACACCCACACATTATACAAACTCAAATTGGTAGGAAAAACAAATATGGAAAAATAGGCAAAGATTGTGAAAAGATTTCATAGAAAAACAATGGCAAACCCTTTATAGTTGCCAGACCTGAAGCTCTTTGTCAACCACCTTAGAGAGTAGAGACAGAAACCCAGCATTATCTAGTGACTATGACAGTTGCTTCTCTTTGCCCTGTATCAGTGATGTAACACAACTATAATGGGCCTGAAGCAAGGTTCATCTGGCAGTGGCCAGAGCCAGCCCCGTAAGAGCATATTGTGCACAAGTTTTCCCAGCTTCATTCAGTGACCACTATCACACTGATAGCATAGAATGTGCCACGTGGAAGTATTTACAGCACAGAAACCGGAACATGCTACAAATCAAAGCTTGTTGGCTCCAGGAGCTGATTAATAAATGTCTACCCCTGGATCCATCCCAAATATCTTCAACTCCAGGACACTATCACACTTCCTGAATGATTTTCAACTGGGTTAGAATGAAATGGGCACAAAAGTGTCACATAAAAAATTAATAGGTGGGCCGGGGATTTAGCTCAGTGGTGTCGCCGCCTGCCTCGCAAGCGCAAGGTCCCAAGTTCGATCCCCAGTACCAAAAAAAAAAAAAAATTAATATGTGTTTGTATATATTTTAGAAAAGATCTCAGGAAAATTGGATATTTTACAACAGCTTCACCTGAGAATCTTTTGGGGTTTTTTTGCAGGTACAGGGGATGGAACTCGGGACCTTGTACTTGCCAGGCAGGCAGCAGAACCACTGAGCTAAATCCCCGGCCTGAACTGAGAATCTTATTCTGTTTTCATGCATTGGCACAAAAGCCTGCAAATATAGAGCTTTGATGTCTTTCAACTTTACTGCAAAAGTGACAGGCCTTGCTGTGGATAATAAGGTCCTTGGCTTGCTCCAGGAAGCACAGCATGTAGCATCAGCTCACCTGAATCTCCATCTTCTCTCGCAGGGCCTGGAGCTCTTCTGCCTGCCTGAGTCGCTCCTCGGAGTCCTCATCCCGCAGTGATCCAAGGTGGGATTCCATCACACTGTGGGACTGCAGAGCCTGCAGTTTCTGAAAAGGCCAGGCATCTTTTTATTAGATGAAGATCTAGGCCTGATGTTGACTTTGATACCTTACCTGAAAACAGAGTCAGAAGGGCATACCTTACCTCAACCACAACCCCTACTCATCTTTGATAAACCTATGCACCTGCAAATATTCACACAAATCAACATTTCTAGGGTTCTCCTGAGGGCTCAGCTCTTGCAAAAGTGAAGCAATTTGCCACAGAAGAACAGAATTTAAGAGTGTCCTTTCAATTCCACTTAAATTCTGCTATGCTCAAAACGTCAAATTCCTCCAACTGCTGCCTCATTTCTTCCTCGGTCTGGAATAAGCTGTAGACCAGATGCTTAGAGACCCTCAGGCACAGCAGGCCACTCCCTGAGGTCTCCTGGGCCTTCCTCACAAAAATATCCTGGCTGACACCAGTAAGGACTGGCTTTGCACAGCTCAGAGCCATACCACAATTCCTGATGATTCCTGAGCTATTAACAGTATGTGACCTGAAGGAAAGACACAAAAATGGACCAAAGAGTAGATGCCTTTCCACCTTTCTATGATAGATAGATGTCACTACTGCAGTAACAAAAACAAAACATACCCATACCTATCTTTATTACTGTATGAAATCCATAAGTTCTATTACAACTTCAAGAAACTGCAGCCCAGTATGGTAGCACACATCTGTAATTCCAGCACTCCTTGAGGCTGAGGTAGGAGACTGCAAGCTCAAGCTCAGCCTAGGCAACTTAATGGCTTACCAAAGCCCTGTCTCAAAAAAAAGAAAAAAAATTAAGGGCTGGGGATGTAGCTCAGTGTGAAGACCCAGGGTCCAACCCCCAATGTAGGAAAGAGAGAGAGAAACTACAAGCCCCTGAGTTTGACTTGGGTTTAGTTTTTGCTCACTCTTCTCAGTCACCACTTAAGTAATACTGCGGCCAATGTTAATCACTTCTAAACTCTTTAAATATTTTGATAGTCAAATGCTTTACCAGACATATACTCAACTCAGGGATTCTGATGTGTCTGCCACTTCTGGCTTCTATACTGCTATGACACACCATAGAACTGGTTTTCTTGGGATCACAAACTTTCGAGGTATTTGCATTTCAATTAGAGACTCCTTTGGCAGCTCAGTTTACCTCTATCTAATATAAAGTTCTCTCTTTGGTCAAGCAACTTAACCAAAGTAAGCTCTCAGACTTCTGTATCAGGTGGAAAGTTTTGAGGACAAATATCTCCAAAATGTATTTCACTCTCATTGGCCCTCCTAACATCAAGAATACTTTCCTAAGTTTTGAAGATTGACTATCTTACCGTACTTCTCATAATTGTTCTAAATGGAATCCTACCTGGCTTCCCCACCCCACAGGTTTTTTAAATGAATTAACAAAACCTGGGAATGATGGTGTGGAGTTGGGTGTCAGGCACTGACGTCCACATGATGGAGCAACATCTTGTCTTCCACAGGTCATCTCTGATCCAGTGGGGGAGCATTTAGGTTGGGATGGTGTGGGTCGTGTTATGGTTTATACCTAGACGTTGCCCAAAATTCTCATGTGCTTTTAGGGCTTTTGGAAGGTGATTGAATTATGGGGCTTACAGGTGACTTACAGTTAGAAGCAGGGGTCCAGTCAGAAGAAGCAGGTCACTGGGGCCCTGACTTGGAAGACTTTACCTCCCTCCCCAGCTCCTCTCTTTGTTCTCTGCTTCCAGGAATATCCTATTACAATTCCCTTTTGAAAAGGTGTCTCTGTGTTTCTTTAGGCAAAATGTGGCTTGATTGTAAGAAACACCATCAAACAGTTAATTTGCAAAGCCACGACTCGCCTTGATGTTGGGAGGACAAGTAAAAGATAAATACATTTTAAGACTAGATTTTTCCTCAAAACTCTCCTCTTGATACAGGCTTACAAGGGAAGATATAATCCAAAGATAACCCTAATAAAATCTTCCTGCATAAATTTGGTAGTAGACCCAGTAGGAGATCTGAGCTTGTGAATTTGAAGAGCTAGGTTCAAATCCCAGCTCCTCCTCTTACTAGCTATGTGACCTGAAGCAAATTATGTGGTCTCAGTTTCATCAACTGTAAAGAAAGAATGTAATAGCAATTTTTTTTTCTTTTTGGTACCAGGGATCAAACTCGGGACCTTGCACTTGTGAGGCAGGCAGGAGAACCACTGAGCTAAATCCCTGGCCCTGTAATAGCTATTTTAAAAAAAAATTTTTTTAAAGTAATAAACTGATGCACCTGCTCCTAGAATATTATGGTCACTTGCTTATTATAAAGATTAAAACTGTATGTAAAGCGCTTTGCACAGAAGCTAGGAAATAGCAAATACAGTCAGCAAGTGTTAGCCATTACATGTGACCTCCGGAGACCCCATGGACCTCATCAGAGTATTGGACACACAGCCAATATTCAGAGAATGTGCACATTCATATATTCAGGAAAAAGTTCATTCATTAAAATTTTGCCTCGTTTCTTGTGCAACAATGAAAACACTTGGCAAAATAGGGTTAATATCTTGGGTGTTCTAACTACGTACCAGATAATGTTAAATGCTGTATATGTGCTAATTAAATATTTCAGCAACCCATCTTACAGGAAAGAAACTGAGGCACAAGCAAGTTAAGCAGCTCACCCAAGGTCTCAAAGCCAGTAAGCAATAGACCACTGTGAGCCTCCCTCAGGCTCTGGCCTCTGGTATCTGGCTTCACAATGTCTTAGATCCAAAAGCAGATGAAATATAACTAGTGCAGACTAAGAAATTAATGTTGAGAACAAATAAAGGGCCAGGAATTTAGCTCAGAGGCAAGCGCAAGGTCATGAGTTCAATTCTGGATACAAGGAAAATAAACAGAAAAGAGAACAAATAAGCAGGTTTTCAACAGAAAGAAAAACTTTGAAAAGCTTTCTATGTTGAGCACCTCTGCTAGGGTAGAGTTCTGGTTGGCAATGGTTTTAAATTCATCCCAAAGTAATTGTTTTAGCTTGTCTATTTCTCCATAAAGCTTGGTCCGCTCATTTTCTTTCCATTCATCAAATTCTTTCTTCACTTCTATTTCCCTCTGACGAGTAATCTCTGTTTCCTTAAAAAAAAAAAAAAAATAGGCGAGAACAATAGAATCATTAATTCCACATTGTAGCAAATATTTGCTGAAGATCTGCTACGGCCCCCTGTCGTGCACAACACTATGGAGACCCAAAAACATTTACCCCATAGTCCCAGTTGCTTGGCCTCAGAGTGGCCCACTTATCTAAATCATACGGTCCCTTGAGGATAAGAATTTGTCTTCTCTTTCCTTATTCCTCACCATGCCTGGCACAGTTGGTGCTCACAGATGCATGCTGAGATGATGAATGGTGGATAGATGAAGGAAAGGGCAGGGAAAACTCATGTATTTTCATTCTACAAACTTTTACTGGACATTTCCTCCAGGCTGGGTTCTGGAGCTTTCAGAATCAGACCCATGCTCTGCCCTCAAAAAGCCAACCAACAATGTAGTACAAGAAGCTGAATTCAAATTCAAATCCCTTCAATGAGTGCTGACTAACACAGGAAACTGCAATTCTCTGCTCCAATTCTCTTTTGGTCACGTAGGTCTGGCAAAATAATTTAATTTTCCTTCCAGACTCCCTAAAATAATTTGCCACATCCAAGAAGGTGGCATTCTGACTCTGGCCCCCAGCTCTGGGAAACCAGCTGGACTTCAAGCCCTGTGGGATCCATGTGCTTGGTAGGCCTAGGTAGCCGTGAGTCTCTCTGACACTTTCATTACCTAAGTTCCTCTTGCTTGCAGTGCTGTGGAAGTATATTCTCCATACCCACCTGGAGCTGGCGCTGCCTCTCGGCCTCCCTCTGGGCTTCCAGCTCCCCTTGGGTCCACTTCAGCTTGGCTCTCAGCTCTTCCAGTAGCTCCTCAGCTGGCCGTTCCTGCTGTTTCTGCTTTCCTGGGGGCAGTGGAAAGACAGAGTGAAAATCAATGGAGCATAGTTTCTTTCTCACTTCTGCAGTCACCTCTGAGTCTGAGACCAGCCTTGCCATGCAGTTTGTTGACACTGGGTAAAGGACTTACCTCCCTGTTCCTCTGCTTCCCCAAACTGCAAAATGGAGATTGTAACAGTGCCCAACTCAGAGGGGTTTTGTGAGGATGAAATGTGATAATACAAAGTGATCAGCACAGTACCTGCCATGACAGCTCAATAAATGTGAACTATTATTAAATTTTTTTTTTGGTACTAGGGATCAAACTCGGGTCCTTGCACTTGCACAGCAGGTGGCGAAACCACTGAGCTAAATCCCTGGCCCAAATGTGAACTATTATTGTCCTGCCATTTAAAATAAGTATTTTGACAGTACTGACACATAGAAATGCAAAATTCTAGAGTAACAGAAACTGAATGCTAAACAGTGTGTATATCCCAACCATTAATGCAAAGAACATACTTCTGCAGCACTGTAAGCGAAAGGAACTTAAGTAATGAAAACAGCTGTAGCTTTCAAGTCACTCTTCAAAATAATGTAGTATAATTCACATCTACAGTGTTAAGTTTCAAATGAAAAAATAGGGATATGGAAGAAACATTCTAACCAAGGTTACTGCAGGTGTATACCTTAATCTTTAAAAAACATTTTTTGGTAGGGTTTGAATCCAGGGCCTTTGTACTGAGCTACATTCCCAACCTTTTCTTTACTCTGAGTCAGGGTCTCAGTAAGTGGCTAAGTCGCCCAGGCTGGGCTTGAATTTGTGATCCTCCTGCCTCATCCTCTCAGAGTGCTGGGGTAACAGATATGTGCCATCATGCCTAGCTAGTTTTTTTAAATTGACAAACAAAACTGTATATATTTATCATGTACAATGTGTTGTTTTGATCTAGATACACATTGTAGAATAATTAAATCTAGCTAATTACCTCACTTATCATTTTTGTGATAAAAATTTAACATCCTCTCTTAATATAATGAAAACTTTAACATCCTCTCTTAATATCCAAGTTTTGTAAGTCAAAAAATGATTCAGAATGAATTACAAAGCTAAGCTATATGCAGATAAAGCAAGAGTTAAGGGTTAATGAAAAATACATTAATTATTCTCAAATACGTGTTAGTTTTTAAAGTATAAATAATTTCTAGACAGATGGTACTATTATTAAAATTTTAAATCTTTCTTTGATAAAAGATGTGGCTTTTCTCAGTTTACTTTTTGGAAACAATTTTTAGGTGGATAGAAATTATTTTGGTTGAATAAAGTGAGTACAGATTGGTTGAATAAGGTGAGTATAGAATAAGACAAGAGAAACCAGCTACCTGAGAACAAAAAGTCATGAACCTGAATGGCTTTTTAAAATATTTTCCCTCTCCTTACATTAAGGAAATATTAAGAACAATACACAAAGGTTTACATAGGAGAATGTTAATCATCCTGTGCTGTGTAATAGGGAAAATTTTGAGTAACCAATACATATATTCAATGGGAGGACATTGTGAAATAAATTGTGATCGTCACATGATGGAATACTATTCAGCCATTAAAACTCATGTTTTCACAGATGATTTAATGACATTAGAAAATCTAATGTCGTTTCTATATCAGAGCCATATTTTTGTTAGAAAACGACTATTTAAGACATGGAAAATTTGTTTATCCTTAGCCCTCTGTGCAGAATCAACAAGAATTAGATATGTAATGAATGTATAGTAACTAGGTAAGTGATACTGTTTTAAAACTCTTTTTTGAAAAGGGAATTGAAATGATGGAAAATAGAAAAAAGGTTTCTTTAAACTTTTCATACATTTATTTTGTTTTACAGATTTTTCTGTTGAATCTCAAAATGTAGATACCCAGTATGAAAATCTCTTTGTGGGGACAACATAGAGCCTTGCTGCTCATGTTAGAATTTGAAATGATAAGATTAAACAAACTTATTAAGTTATGATAAGTTCAGGTACATAGAAAAGCCAAAGAACTGGTTTGACTGCTCGTTTACCCCATTTAATCTTATTCATAGCTAGCTGCAGAGAACTGCAGATTCACAGAAGGCTGGGAGGTAGGGGCCCCTCAAAGTCTCTCCATCTGACTGTCCCAGTCACAATAAAAGCCACAGAAATTCAGAAACAAAACACTAAGGTTGCATCATGGAAACAGACAAAGCTAAGACTGGCACCTACCTGTTCTCTTCTCCACACAAGTGGTCAAAACTTATCCAGCCCCTTCTGGGGTCTCCTGCCCCTTGGTTAATGATGGGATAGCTCCATCCTCGATTAGATGATGAGAGAAAGCTTGGGTACACATTTGTATAGTGCCCCTGCCCACTGCCCAAGCCCCAGGCCTTTCTACAGTCCCAACAGGGTCCCCAGTTGCTGCCTGGACTCACCACCTTCTGCCATGCCTGCATGCCTGCGTTGGATGTGGCCCCGGAGAAAGGTGGCATTCATGAATGACTTGTCACACAGGTGGCACTGTACAGAGGAGAACAGGGAGTATGGGATTAGATCCTCTGAGGCAGCCTGGGATTTCCCCTTTGTCCAAACTCCCCTTCCCTTTGAACCCCTATATTGCTTTAAAAATAAAGAATTTGGGGGGCTAGAGATGTAGCTCAGTGGTAAAGTAAATGCTTAGAATGTGCAAGGCCTGAGGTTCAATATTCAGCACCACAAAAAAAAAGAAGAAAGAAAAAAGTAAAATATGATTTACTGAGTAAGGCAGTGATGTCAATTCAAAACACTACCACTGTCCTGGGAAACTATAAACACTGACTATTTGATGATACTAAGGAATTTCTATTGATTTTTCAGGGTATGATGATGGTGTTGTGTTTATGTTTAGAAGAGGGAATCCTTGCCTTTTAGAACTACATACTGAAATGTTACAGACATAATCATATGACTAATATGCTTCAAGTCAATCTAGGATTAGGAAAGTAGGAAGGGAAACAGATGCCACGGCACTGGCTACAAGTTGAGAACAGCTGGATTAAGCAGTGTGTAGATGAAGGCTCATTAAATTATTCTCTCTACTTCTGGATATGTTTCAGTTTCCATACTAAAAATTCTTATTTTATACATACTAATCTCAGGGCCAAAGATGTAGCTCAGTGGCAGAACACCTGCCTAGCATGTGCAAGGCTTTGGGTTCTATCCCCAGCACTAATCCCACCAAAAGATCTTGATTTCACCCCAGGGTTCAGAACACCACAGGCAGAGGACAGCAAATAAATAGTGTGTGTAATTCTACCTCTCTCCTAAGGCACTGCAGATGCAGTCCATCTATCCTATCATCTTTTTACAGTCAAACTTCAGAATTAGCACAATTTTGCTAGTTGATCAGAGTAAAAGGGAATTTTATAAAGAGTGATACAATTTCTCTCCCTCTCCTCCTGCTGAGTGGTGGCCCTGAGAGCTGGAACTCAGGCAGTGATCTTAGGCAATGAAGTAGAAGCCACACAATGAGACTAGAAAAGCCACACATAAAGAACTGTGCCCCTAATGACTGCGGTATTACACACCAGCCCTGACTTGCTTACATCCACACTTTGTTAATGAAAGACAGAAATACACTTCTGTCTGGTTTTAACAAATGACCTGAGTTTTTCTGTCACTCACAGTCAAACTTAATCCAAATGGATACAGCAAAGAGAAGCCAGATTCTGGTGACTTCATCTGACTCCTAGGGCAAGCCAAATATGAGTTCCTCCATATCCCCTGGACTTTTCAGTTAAGTTAACCAGTAAATTTCCTCCTGGTATTAACCAGGTTAGGCTGCTGCTTTGCCACTAACTACTGAAAAAGTTCTGACTTTTAAACCACAAACATTATATTGATTACATTATATCAACTACTGCTTCACCACTGTGATTCCTCTGTCCCACTATGATACTGAGATATAAGAATATATATTTGTCCTTCATCCCTGGTTCCCAACAGAGATCCTAATACCCTTGTAATTTCCTGGGCAATAAGAGCAATAACTTCTTCTACAGAAGAAACCAACTAATACTAGTTGGTCTTAGTCCACAGTTCTTGACACAAGAGCTTCTGGGCTCCTTGGACTCTCAGAGGTGACAAGTGTCTTTTGTATCCTTAGGTGACTGATGGCTGGCTGAGGGCCCCTGGATGGCTTTAGGATGCAAGCTTATCACCATAAAGAGCAAGGCAGGATTGGAGGGTTAGAACTTAAGATCCTACTGCCTGAGCTCTAGGGAGGAGAAAGGCACAGATACTGACTTACATAACCAAAGACTTAATCAATTGAGCCTGCATGGCAGAATCTGCATAAAAACCCCCAAAATGGGATTTTTGAGAACTTCCAAGTTGGTGAACACACTGAAGTGTTGGGGCCCACATACTTTGCATGTGCATCTCTTCTACTTGACTATTCTGAGTTGCATCTTTTGTAATAAGCCAGGAATAAAGTAAAGTGTCTTGCTGAGTTCTGTGAGCCATTCTAAGAAATTACTGAACCTGAGAACGGTATCTTGGGTACCTTCGACTTATAACTAGTCAGAGAAGTACAGGAGGCCCAGGGCTCACAACTGGCATCTGAAGTGGAACCAGTCTTATGTTAAAACTGACACTGTCTCCAGGTAAATAGTGTCAGGATTGAATTAAACTGAAAGACACTTGTTAGTTTTGAAGAACTAGTCAGCGTAGAGGGGGAAATCCAGATATCTGGTGTCAGACGTTTAGTGAGAAGAAATGGATCACCCATTCACCACCAAACTGTAAATTTCCTGAAAACCTAAACCAGTATGACTTGTGCTTATAGCCTCAGGGCCTGGCACAAGACCTGGAAACCATGGCAATTTATTAAAGGGCAAATGCCCCTAACTGTATTAGTCACTTTCTTATTGCTGGGACAAAATATCTGACACCCATAATGTAGAAGAAGAAAAGTTTATTTTGGCTCATAGTTGGCTGGCTCCAGGGAGGGAAAGGATGGCAGAGGAAGGGGATGGCAGAGAAATACTGCTCAACCCATAGCATCCAGGAAGCAGAGAAGGGAGGAGCCAGACAAAAATACACCCTTCCAGGTCACATCCCCAGTGACCCACCTCTTCCAACCAGGCCCCTAATAGCACATTCAGTACCTCTATGATCCAATCACCTTTTAAAAGCTCCAGCTCTGAACCTGAGACTTTTGGGGGACATTTTAGATTTAAAACATAACACCAATCCATACTTTTTTATTGAAATAGACTCAAATACTCAAATGCTACACTTGTTAGAATGGTGGAGTCATTTTTCCAAAATGGGCTTGACTCCACTATTGCCTAACCATACATTGATTCTACACTACAGAGAGAGAGAGAGAGAGAGAGAGAGAGAGAGAGAGAGAGAGAGAGAACCTGATCAGACCTCTCAGCTCTGACTATACACAGCATCTCTAAAACCTGCTCCTAACCAGTGAGAATGGTCCAGAGCAGCCTTGTGAGTGACTCAGGGTGGTGCTGGCTAGATAGTCTGCTAGCTGGGGTGCATGGCCCTCCACTTTCCCCACCCTGCAGAGATTGCTCACCACATGGTAGTTGTGGGCGCCTGTCTGCATTAGCAGCTGCTGTAGGGTGCTGATCATCTTTCGACGCCGGCGGCTCTCCTCCCGTACGCCCTTGAGCTCATCAGCCTGGCGGCCCAGCTCCTGCTGGCCACGCTGCTGCTGGCCCAGGCTGGCCTGCAGCCGTGCCTCCAGCTGGGTGACGATGGCACTCAGGCAATCCTGGCAGTGCAGTAGGTACTCAATGATAAGCTGTGCCAGGCGCAGCACCTTGAGCAGCACCGGGTCCACAGGGTGCCCACAGCGGCTGCACACCTCCTGATTCAAGTTGCAGAAGGTAACACCAGCAATGTTCTCCTGCAGAGTGGCCACATCCAGCTCCTGGGCTACACGGTCCACATCCAAAGCACTAATGCGCCTCCAGTCTATGCTCTCACGGCGAGGCTGGAATTTGAAGGTGGGGAGTGTGCAGGTCCCAAAGAGTGGGCTGCTGAGGCCCTCAGCAGTGACAGCTGGGGGTTGCATGGGTGAGAGAAGCCCTGGGCTGACTACTGGGGTAGGGTGCCACCCAGGCCACGGCAGCTGGCCAAAGAGCTGGAAGAGGGCCTGGAAAATGAGAAGAGAGTCAATTAGGCCAGGTACATGTGACTGCATGGACTGTACACCCTAAGAAGGGCAAGGCAAGGTGAGGTGCCTAGCCAGTAGTTGCAGTGTTTGCAGTGTGCACTGCCATGGCCAGAGCTGTGAAAGGAAAGGTTAGGACTTTGCAGTCACACAGACATGGATTTGAATCCTCTGCCTTGAGTAAATCCCTTCCCTTTAAACTTTCTGTTATATGGGATTTAGGGAACTCATTCTTGTGGTGAGGAAGGAGGCAGGTGAATCACTCAGTCTGGGCCAAGTCGTATGGTAAGTCCTCAGTGAACCCTTCCAGGCCCACTGCAGGAGTGCCTCACAAAGAACTTTGTGAGGGGAACTGTCAACTGTGTGAGCCCTTCTGCAACTCTAACCCTGCGTTCACCTCAAGATAAAGTCCAACAACTTGCCAACTAGGTAGGGTTGGCCCAACTAATGTTTACCCTATTCATGCCTTCTCTTATAATTACAGGATTCTAGTGGAACATGGGTGGACTACATTTCCCAGCTTCCCCTGCAATAATGTATAACCATGTGACTAAGTTCTCTCTGGTGGAACGGGATGGAAGTGAAATGATGTCCACCTCTGGGGGGGGGGGGGGATAAGAGACCTGCCGACCTGCCATGTTTCTCCATAGATGTGCCCAGTATGCAATGGGCTTTTGTGTGTGTGTGTGTGTGTGTGCTGGAGATGGAACCCAGTACCTCACATAGGCTAGGTTAGTACTCCACTACTGAGCTACACCTCCCTGCTATGGGCTTTAAAACAACAACAAAGCCTAACAAGACAGAGAAAAGAGTTCTAATTTGTTGCCAAAAGACTTAAATTCTACTCACCACATTCTTAGAAAGCATAGAAATTGTTCTCTCTCTTTGAATAGTAATTTGATAATATCAAGGTAATTTAAAATGAATACTATTTAGTTGAGGATGTACTTCAATGGCAGAGCACTTCCCCAGTATGTGCAAGACCCTAGGTTTGAGCTCAAGCACTGCAATCAATCAATCAATTTTAAAAATAAGTTCTGAAAAAAAGAAGTATAATTACCTTATAAGAAACCCATATGTGCACAGGTGCTTGTGAAAAAATTGTCACTGTAGTACTGTTTATAAAAATAATATAAGAAAGCAAAGTACAATAGGGGGATACAAATGGTATTTCCACACAGTGAAATACTACACAGCTATTGAAAAGAATAAGGCAGCTTTACATGTACTGATATAGAATAATAATCTCATATGTATATATAGACATACATACTTTCATTTCTGTGTTAAAGAAATACTACAAGGTATGATCAAAAAATGTGGTGAATGTTTAAAGATTTTTTTTTCTTTTTTTAGTATAGTAAAAAAAAATTTAATTACTATAGTAAAAGACACATTGCCATCAATCTGCCTCAAAATACACCCTTCCTTCAACACACTTACCCCATCATTCTTTCCACTTTCTGAAGCAGTACTAGAAGTCTTCTTTCATGAGTATCTTTATAGTTGTGTGTCATGGCTGCCTCAATGTCCTAAAGTGATTCAAAATGTTTCCCTTTTGTGGTTGTTTTGACTTTGCGGAAGAGCCAGAAGTCACACAGTGCTGGATCCAGTGAAAAAGGAGGCTGAAGACATACTGTAATGTTTTTACAAGCCTGCATTTCCATTGAATGGTACTCAGCAGCAGCCTTCACCATGTTTTTGACCACACATCATAAAGACACTCACAAAAGAAAACTTTCAGAACTGCTTTAGAAAAGAAATCTACAAAAATGGCAGAGTGGTGAGCAGCAGCAATTCAGTCTCTCCAAGATTCAGAATCCAGACACTGGAAAATAGTAATTTGAGGAAGAAAGAAAAGAGAGAGAGAGAAGTACCCCAGGAAGGGAACTGACAGGAAAATTGAAAGCTACAGAGAAGTTGAAGAGACAGACCACAATGCAAAGGGAATAAAACAGTCTGGACTTTCTCCCTGGTCTGACTGCTGAAGTGAGGTGAACACTGGGGGCTCTAGGGGACTCCAGGGAGGAATCGGGTAGACAGAGCTGGTGGTGGACTGGGCTGGCAATTATTGAGACAGTGTGAGGTTTTGTTCAACAGGAGTCCTTCCACACAGCAGGTGACAGGTGGGGCCTGATCCCAGTGCAAGCACCTGCCGTAACACAGGAGAGAGAGTGCAGAGTTGGGTGCCATTTGAAGAAATGGTTGAGTGTTTGAATTTCAGACTCAGGATGGCTGTCAGAAGGCTTAGCTTCAGGGTTCCTAGTGTTACCCTCTCACAGTGACTGGGTGAGAGACAGCTGGGGGAGACAGCTGCAGATAGGGACCAGGGTGGAAAGAGACTCCCTGATTTAAACACCACATATTTTGATCACCCCTTGTATATTAATATAATCATATTTAATAACTCACAAAAATCATATATATATCTCACATTAGAATGGGTGTCTATGAGAGAGGAGGGAAATGGGAGTGTGAAATGGAAATAAATAAATGAAGAGATGGAAGAAATATGGGCAGATGGTCAGATAGATAGGTCTCATACAGATCAACAATAATATGGATGATTTGTACCTGTTATAATTATATAAATTATACTCATTTGTTATTCCTACATATGATTCATTTATATGTATGATTTCATAAGCATTCACCATTTCTGGAAAGAGAGATAAAAAACTTCTAGCAATGCCCACCTCTAGGAAATGGAAATGAAGGCTAGAGGACTTCTATTTTTCATTTTCCACCCCTCTATAATATTCAAAGTTTTTCCCACCACCATCATCATCATCTATTGTTTGTTTTTTTAAAACAAACACAAATTTCTGCCCTAGAGGAACGGACAATGTGACTGAGACAATAAGAGGTACATATTATCCACATTTAATCAAGTTTTTCTAGATTACATGATTCAGATATTCAAGGGTAATCAAAAGCCAGGGAAGACAGATCATTGACCTTATGAGGGAGAAAAGTCTTGAGGGAAGGGGTAGTACTGAGCTCGCAGAGGAGAAGGGCCCCCAGGGAAGGCCTCTGGCCTTGCTGAGCTATCTTCCTCTGTGAAAGACAGTGCCATGCCATCCCTGCGTATTTCACAGGGCACTATGAGAAAAACAGGAGAGATGAGTAAAACTACTGGCACATTCAGGAAGTGCTACATGCAAATGCCAAGTACAAGCTTATGGTAGATGCAGTATTATTATTCCCATTTCACAAACAAGAAAACTGGTGTTTGGAGGGGTTAAGTGGCCAGTTGCAGCCACAGAGACCAGAGTTGGGGTGCAGTTATACAAGCATCTGTTTCCAAGGCTTGTGAACTTTGAATTACGCATGATGCTTGGGACTATTCCTTCTAAACCCTTACTTTGATTAGAGTATCACACCTTTCCCCTCAAACTCTCAATTTATTCATTTACTCACTCCCCCCTCATTTCAAGTAAGCCTACTTGGGCCCAGATAGGCACCAGGCATTAAGGCCACCCATGTGTATTAGCCACACACTGCTCCTCACTGTGGAGCTCAATGTATCTCCTTGTAGGCACAGTATAAAGTGCAAAGCTCTTAGCCTGGTCTTAAGACTGCTCACAGGGCACCATGGGCCCACTTTTGCAGTTCCAGCTCACATCCTCCCTTTCTTAGACACACTTCCCCCAACATGCCCTCCAAAAGTAAAACCATCCAGACATAAGCACCCTCACCATAGCCATAAAAAAAACCAGTGGTAACAGATCAGATCTGAAATGTCCCCCAAAAGTTTCATGTGTTCAGAGGCGGGGCTTCTGGAATGCTACTGAATCATGGGGGTGCTTATGCACCGGGAGATTGCTCCATTGGAGTTCACAGCTGAATGTGCTGATAAGAGGTGGGGCTCAGTTGGAGGAAGCACACTTTGGAGGGTGTATCTGTCGCTCTTTCCTCTCTCTGCTTCCTGGCTGCCATGGGTTAAGCAGGTTAAGCAGCTTTCCTGTGTCATCCCTTTCCACCATGCCATTTCTGCCTTGGAGCCAGCCAGTCATGGATTGAAACCTCTGAAATCATGAGCCAAAATAAACCTCTCCTCCTTAAACTGTGGGTTTCAGGTACTTTGTCCCAGCAACAGAAAAGTAATCAATACACCAACACATTTCTACTCTACCTAATGTGTCCAGTTATGAAAAGAAAAACTGCCATGTACTCACCATGCTTAACTCCACAAGCTACCACAGCACCACGGGAGCCTCAGAGACAAATGCTCACAACAAGCTGTCCCTCAGAGCAACAGCAGGTTACCAGGCATGCTGCGGGCAAGAGTAACAGGACACCAGCCTCCTTTCCTCCCACAGACCAGGAGCTCACATGAGAACTTCACTGTTTAACTATTTAAGCTTTGGTCCCAGGTGTTTGCCAGCAGTCCAATCTCTAATAAGAACTCTCCATCACCAACTCCTTTGGCTCTCCTCCTACCTCTTTGAATGCTCCTCCCAGTTGCCTCCCTGAACAGTGACTATATTTTCACCTTCCAAGTAAAGCAGGGGTGTCAGTACCCCTCTGGCATTCTGCTGTTCACCCACAACCCACTTCTCCCTGCATATTCTATGGTTCAGGTCACAGCTTGAGTTCCAGCCACTCCCAAATCTTTTTCTCTGTCCCTTTGGTCTCTTGGACATTTTGATCCAACCCTTCTATAGTGATTATGCCATAAATTGTAAAACCAAGTTTCAGTAAGGCCAGGAAAGTAACATTAGACACATGAAATGTGCCACACAGGAGAGCGACTTCAGCACCAACTTGATAAGACTCAACTGGTTCCCCACCTTGGTGTACAAGATATAACAGGGCATTGGTTCTCAAAGTATATTCCCTGGATGACACCCTACCGAAGTCCTCAGTCAGACAGAACACACTGAATCAGCCTGCTGCAGACAGGCAGGTCTGCCCACACCCTACCGAGGTCCCGAGTCACGCAGAAGATGCTATATCACCCCGCTGTAGACAGGCAGGTC